GAAAGCGAAATTTTACAAGATTGGCTGTAACAGTGTCAGCACCATAAACACAATCCACATTTCGATTTCCAGCCGTCTGTCTTTCGTTTTCGCCCTTATCGCCGAAAAACTTTTCTAGTGTCCATCTTTGACGCACGCTCAAAGAATACTGAATCAAACAACTAAAAATTTGACAGAATGGTGTTTTTTTGTACGAAATGTCATCTTTCTAACCCCATCTAGCGGAACCCGTTCGGAGTTATACAACGCGAGATACAAATAAATAACGCCATGTATTAAAAAAAATAATGGATTGCTTTTTACTACACCTAATATAATAAATAAATGTAAAAAAATATAATATTATACATCAATATACGGGTATACATAATTCTTTTAAACGTTTATAAAGAACCAGTGTTTTCCAAAAGTTACCGGCAGATTTTTTCTATGGTTCCTGGTAAGGTTTATAAGAAAAACAGCAAAACGACAAGTGTATCAGGGACTGACCAATTCGAAAAAATCTTGATTTAACTTTTGATTTACATGAAATTCGTTATTTGGTGACTACCACGGACAGGTGCTAGGGACTAACCTATTACTTTAAATATGCTAAATGGAAGGATTTTTTGCTTAAATTAATACGAAACCTGCTCTCCTCTCTGTGAAGTACTTATTATTCCATTTTCTTGAAATTCGGTAATTAGGTTCTTTTCGATTTAAGTTTTTTTGGAAAAGTGGATCGTTTTTTTTTTATATGCAAAGCCATGGTTCCTTTAAGTTGAATTTTTGGATGTTACACCTCAATGGAATACTTTTGCTTCCAGGAAATGGACCATGCATTCTTACGGCAAAAAGATCACCGACAGATTCGCACAAATTTAAATTGATCTGGATATAAACTTAAATCGTGCTTAGATTTTCGGCTACGGTTTCAACTTGATGGTGCGTTTGGCTCGCTTCGAAATATTCATAAAGCTATTCTTCTGAAGGATCTTGAGCAGCATAGAGATGACATGTAAAAAGTTTGCGAGGAAGGGGCACACCTAGTGTGAAATTTCAAGAAAAAACGATCTTTTTCATATTTCGGTAGATTACACCTTTAAAAATAACATATTAAAATTTCAAATCGATATCTCAAATAGTTTTTGAGTAACAGTAATTTAGAGAGCAGCCGCTCGGCAGCTATAGAGTCTCATTAGCTACGAGTGAAAACGATCATTTTATCTTCAAACGCGTTTTTTTCGAAACAGCATTTTCCGAATTTGCTGCAGTGATTACTCAAAAGCAAATGATCCGATCAATATCGAGTTTTTTTTACATGTTCTATATACTAGTTGATCTGATCAAAAAATCGAATTTTGGCAGGCCAAAAACGGCCAAAATTTTGGGTAAAATTCGCCATTTTATCAATTTTTCATTTTTTTATCGTAGGTTATTGTACAGACAATATTATCTCATCGATATTTTTTTTTTTAGATTTCATCCACGGCGAAGGCCGAAGTCATTGCAGCAGTGAAGTATCTTTTTTCCGCGTCGTTGGAGATCGACTATAACTTAAATAATAATTAATTTTTTTTATTGCGAAATTTCACTGTATATTCTTGAAACATGTATAAATATGTTCTTCAAATTTTGAAATAATTGATAAAGTATTTTTTTAATAAAAATCTCCAAAAGTCACCTTTTTTAGCCCATTACACTAGGTTTGCCCCTTAAGCACCAAAATGCATGTCAACCTGCAAAATGATCCATCAGCTGATGTATTCTCATGCCGGACACTGGAAATTAGGAAGAGCAAAATGCCAATTGATTTTACTTCAAGACGGACATTGACCGTTATCTTCTGTAATTTGGTGACGTCAAAAGAAGAATTGATTCACGGAGTATTCCCAAATATCCATATCAAATATAGAGGTCATGAAGAATGATGAAGCGAGCTTTCATGGAGCTATCAGCGCTGCCATAAACTAAGATGTCTAATACCTGAACCGCACTATTCAGTCTAACATTGAAAGCGAAGGCGTCACATATATGTAAGACAGGTGATGAGTCTGTTAGTTATCCAACAGAGAAAAATATAAAAACCATAGTTCGTTCGAAGCTCGTTTTACTCTTTTTTTATTTTAAGGAAGTAATAAACAAATAATAAAACAAAATAATAAAGCTGTTTTGTGCAAATTAAGATAATTAAGGTTTCTGAAACGGAAAATTATTGCACTTTTAAATGAGTAATAAATGTTAAATTAATTGCATTGCTATTTAAATGCGTTAATATTTAAGTACTTCAAAGTACAAATAATCTCAAATGTACATACATATATGTATGTATGAAAGGTATTATATTTTTTTTTACATCAAACGATTATATACATAATTGCATATATACCCTGTTGGGAAAAATACTAGAATCCAACTGTTTGGCAGTTTCGCACTAACTTCCATCTATTTTCCATTCCAGCAAAGAGGTATTTTTAACACCAATGCATCACCTTTTTACTAGTTGATGAACTAGTTCATCAGGACAAGTTGAATTTCTACTTCATCAAACAAAAAATAAAATAATAATAATAACAAAAATGAGTTGCCCACAGCGAGATTCGAACAGTGAGTGAACCTCGCTCGCTACAGCGGTAACCTCTAACCATTACCTTTTATAAATATAATTACTGTTATCATACATATTTATGCCACCATTTGCGCACATATAAGTAAGTAAGTACAAATATTTGTACGTGTATGTATGACACAACTCGCTGGTATTTTTGGGCAGGTGCTAAAAAGAAAGTTCACTTAAGGTTTTACAACTGAAATCACTTTCGATTTTGACGCATCGACGCATTAAAGCAATTTTAAAAGCCACTGACAAAAAAAAAAACAAAGGAGTGAATTGGGGTCAATTACAAGCCGACTGAGTTGGTAGAAGGGCGATGTTCATGGCAAAATAATTAATTGAAAAGAAGCTCCCACACCTCGGTCATCAGCACGAAGGGAAAAAAGTTTTGAATTGATATAACCTCATAACGCTTTTATCAGTGAAATTACTGAGTATATATATACAGTTACGTATTTATATGTATGTACACTACTACTACTACTACTACTACAACGCATATTTCATACAAGTTAACATATCAGCAAACTGTTAATCTGTCATTTAAGCTCAAATTTTATTGTTAAATGAAATGCTAAAAACAAATAAAAACGTTGATAATGAAAGTAAAAGAGCAAAGAGTAAGGAAGGCCGACAAAAAGAAGAAATAGCAACGAATAAGATAAAGGTATTACATAGTCATGAAAGTAAAAGTTTTTTTGGCGTCTTAACAGATAAGATAGAGAGCAAAAAATGGTTGTAGTGGGATTTAAAACAACTGAGGTGATTAGAGTGACCAGGCTAAAACACAACTAAATGAGGTTTAATTCTTTAAATATTAAAGAAAAATAAATGAACTTTAGTTAAATGAAATAAAATAAAATGAAATGAAATGAATTGATATAAAGTAAAAATAAAATAAAAAAATTAAACAAAATAAAGAAAAATAAAATTATTATTAATTAAATAAATTAAACAAAAAAGAATAAACGAACTCAGTAAAGTAAATTGAAAGTTAAAATTAATATAGTTAAATGAAATACAAAAAAAAAAAAATCAAACATTAAATTAAATTAAATGAACCACAAAAAAAAAATAAATAAAAGAATAATCAAAGTGTAAAAAAAATAAATTATATAAAATAAAACAAAGTTAAACAAAATATAAAAATAATATTTCATTTAAATAAAGCTTAAAATATAGAATCTAATAAATAAATTTATTTAAATAAAAAGAAGAAAAAACTAAAAAGTAAAATAATATGAAATAAAAATAAATGATATAAAGTAAAGTAAAAAAAATATATTAATTTAAGCGAAATAACAAAAAATAAAATAAAATAAAATTAAATAAAACCAAATAAGAAAACTAAGTAAACAATAAATAAAATATAAAGAAAAACAAAATTATTTTTAATTAAATTAAGTAAAGAAAAACAACAAAAGACTTAATAAATATATAAAACAAATAAAAATAAAGTAAAATAACAGTTAATACAAATAAAATAAAATAAAATAAAGTAAAATAAAAAATAAAAATTGCATTAAATTTAAATAAAACTCAAAATACACTCCTTAATAAATAAAGTAATTTAAATAATAAAATTGAACTAATAATCAACAAAAAAAAATTAAATAAAGAAAATTAATATTAAATTAATTTAAATAAAAAAAAGTAATTTAAATAAGAAAAAGTAAAATCTATTAATAAAAGAAAAAATACGTAAAAATAAATAAAATGGGAACATCTAACTAAAATGAAATAAAAAGAAATAAAATAAAAGAAAATCAAAATCAAATACAAAAAATAAAAATATAATATTTTAATAAATCAAGTAAGGTTAAATAAAACAAAACGAAAAATTCTACTAAAAAGTAATATAAACAAAATGAAATGAAATGAAATTTAAAACAAATTAATATAAAATCAAATGAAATAAAAATAAACAAAAAAATAAATTAAAGAAAATTAAAATGAAGAAAAGTAAAATAAATAAAGAAAAATAAAAATGAAGCAAATAAAATAATAAAATTTGAATTGAAAATGAAACATCAAGAAACCAAATATAAGAAATAAAAATTAATTAAATATGTAATTTAATAAATAATTATTCCAAAAGTAATTAACCTATAAAAAATTTAAAATATACAAATTCTAATTGTTTAGAAATTAATTAAATTAATATAAATAAAATGGAATAAAATGAGGTAAATAATATAAAACAAAATAGAACAGGAACAAAAAAAATTCTCACAGTTGAGTTTAATTTCTATTTATTCTTTGTTTTTTTATTTTTTTTTTTTTTGCTGAAGTGACTCAAGAATAATAGAAAAGTGTGCTTAAAATCATTTAAATCGCATTAAAGACTTATGATATCACCTAATAAGTGTTAAATTGTAAAATGAGTACAAATAGATGCAATACAAACCGGCATAATCCGCATGACAGCTGAGCAGCAGAAATATATAAAGCAGTAAAGTGGCAAAAATATTGTTGTTATTGCTGTATTTGCGGCAAATCAACCACATTTTTCTATGAATTGAGGCTTTTCGTTGTTTTTATGTTACTCAATTACGTGTGGTAATATGTAAATATGTTGTAAAATATATTTATACACTTGTACTTATTTCAAACGCCAACCAATTTAGAATATTTGTAATCTAAGTTTTTCGTTCTACTTTTGGAAAAACTTGATTTAATAATTAAAGCACTGCAAATACAAACACTTATTTTTTGGTATATTTTAGGTAATTGAACTACAATTAATTAAATTACTTATAAACAATTATTTGCCTTTTTTGTTTTATTCATTGTGTGCGCAAGTAAAATATACTTTTATGTAGTATTATCTTGAAAAATCGAAAATCGTAAATAGTGCTCTGAAAAAAACAAATAGTCTAAGCTTTAGACGAAGAGTTGATTTCAATAACTTAAATTCAGAGTGCTCCCATCGTCAAAATTTTCTAGTTTTCCCAAGCATCTCATGCACAGATAACTATGATAAATAGAGTAAAAATATTTCATTTATTTGCCTATTAGTTTTAGCCCGTATAATTACAAAGTTACAGGAGCTGTGGTGCCACAAAGCGCCAGGTACCTCCAGCGGATCACTTAGTCAGCCCCTTTGTTGCTTCTGTATTAATAAATGGTTTTTTGTACATTCTTCTGTATGGAACTTTATTTTTCGATACAGTGGAGGCCTTTAAAATATCCGTGGGTACCCAATTGGTAAAATAATTTTACTAAATATTTCTATACTATATTTAAATAAATAAAAAAATTCTACTGCATCTAAGTTAATGAGTTAAATTATTTTTTTTTTAAATTAATTTTATTCATTTTTGTTCAAAACCAGGATTTATTTAATTTATATTATTTTATTTTTTTCACTAACAGTTTTAATCATTTCGTTGAGAAAAATCTCGCTTTTAACCGCGCAATCTTCAATAATGCACTAGTTAAACATGGTTAAATAACGGTTAAGCACTACAACGCACTGATAAGAGATCATATCAACGCATCATACATTTAACTTGAATTTTATTTTTTCTAGTTCAGCACAACAAAATAAATCGCCCGCGAATTGAGGAAAAACATACGCCTTTTGCCATGCCAATGACTTTTATGGCCCACGGAATGGGGTTAATTAAATGGAGCACAGCACACACACACAACCAACAAAGCTAAGTACTGAAAACAACTAAATATTGCCACTACAAGTAAACTACGTACAATGTGTATATTGTGAAGTATGTAAGTAAGTATGTAAGTGCCTACAGTTTACAACATAAGCGACTCGTCACCGATATTTGTCTAAACTTGGCCGTGTTACACTTTTTGAACTTCTCTATTTGTACATGACAACCTCAACAGGCAAACAGACAAACAGTCACAGTCACAGCCGCAGGCATATAAAGATGTTAAGAAAATTATGTAACTGAAATTTACACAGGTCTTATCAAACTCTCACATTGGCCCGGCGCGCAAACTTGAATTGTGACTGTTGTCAGTATTTGGTGGGTCAAGGTACGCTTATCGCAGTTAATTGGTTTGTCTAGGGCGTCAGGGCTTTTGGCACAACACATGCAAGTGCATAAACATATATATTCACATTCCCTCAAACACATGCACACTCACTCGCTCGCACGCGCTCGCACGCGCTCGCTTACAATTGACCGTCACTCGCTTGCCTTGGCTGCCCGCCAACCAGCCAGACAGCTAGCCAGCTAGCTAGCTAGCCGACAAGTCAACCAAGCGATGCTGTAATACAATTTTTGGTCATTGGTCTCTAACAATTCCGGCTTAAGTGTTTAATTTGGCAGCGCGTACTCGCAAACTTGTTGTTATAGTAGCTTGGCGTAGCACCCACTTCACTTACGTACTTGTTGCGTATTTTGCTATATAAATTTGTTATAAAATAATTATTTCTTTTATTTTTTAATTTATTTATTTTGCCAATATTATTTTTTTATTTTATTTATCAGTATCACCTTCACCACATTACGCATATGTGAGCATTTGCATGTCACTACATTTACTTTTCCTTTTATCTTTTACTTTCTCATTTATGTACATTTACTTTTGTCTGCACATTCACTCTCGCTTTTCATTTATTTCGACTAAACTGCGCCTGCTGCCAAACCGACTTTCTGCACGTTGAAGCGCTTTTGTGACCGTCGCGTTTGCGCACTCAAAACTATCTGCTTGTGTTTGGTGGACTTTTGCTTTCGTTTACCGACACTACTCAGTGTGCATTGCTCAATTTTTGGATTGTAAGTTTTTCAATTTTGTATGAAAAGTTTTTCGTTGGTGTACAAAAAAAAAACCACGAAAAGTTGAAATTAAAGCTTTCAATTCAAGTAAACATACATATCTATACATATGCATGTATGTTTGTCTATGTAGTTTTGTATAAGTTCGCTTGGGCCAACCGCAAGGGGTAGTCTCTAGTGGCATTCGCGTGTCGACATGCAGTCGCTTCTATTGTTTTGAGAGGGAAAAACAAAAAACTTAAGCGACGAACTTGATTTTGGGGTGGGCGAGTGGACTTGAGCGACCATAATCTGTGTGTTAATGAAGTCATGAAACTAGTTCAAGTGATAATATTTGTGTATTATAAAACAACTACAAAGCAGACTGAAATATTATTTTTTTTTTTTTTTTGGATAATTACTAATTTTTAACTATTTTCTAATAATACTGGGCTGAAAAAATGAGTTTTTTTTATAAAAAGTCTGCCAAAAGGGAAAAACTGCCAATTTTATGTAATTTTTTTAACAGTTTTTATTTACAGTTTTTTTCTAATTTTTTATTTTTAATTTATAAGCTTAATTTACTCATCTTATATTCTTTTCGGCGGAGAAAAAATTATTGAATTTAAAAAGTATTTAACTCTTTTTTATTACTTTTACATAAGAATAAATATATTTTTAAATAAAATTATTATTTATTAATTAAACTAATTAATTTAAAATTATGTCTTTTTTTCAAATTACAAACACATTTTTTTAATATAGCCAAAAAAAATTAGTCTTTAACCTACAAATTTTAATTCTTTTTAATTTTTTTTTTTTATAAAAATTGAATTCACAACAGTGTTTACATATAATTAAATTAAATTAATTACATATTTTTTGTGTTAATCTTTTTCACTTTGTATTAAAAAAAAAACTATTTTTTCTTATATTACAAACATAATTTTTTGTTTTTGAATTCTCTCTTTCATAGCTAAAAATATTAGTTTTCCCAAAAAAAAAGTTGTCTTAGTTTAAAGAACTTAAATAAAATAAAGTTTCATGTTTTATGGTAAGCCAATTTTTAAATTTAGTTTCAAAAGAAAAACATTTTATATCTTTAAGCAATTTTAATAGTGAAAAAAAAAAATATATATATATATATGTATGTGTATATAATTTGGAAATATATGTTACCACAAATTTCATTAATTAATATTTTCATTATATTTTAATCGTAAGCAACATTTTTTTTTCTTTTTCAGTTCAGAAATATCTAATTTTAGTTCTCAGTCCCTCTTTCCCAATGTTATTATATAATTTTCAATTTTTTAGAGTAAAAACGAATGACGTTTTTTAAAGGTTTGAAAGCCCTTGTTTTTAGTTTGTTTTTCCTATGCTTTGATTGATTGACAAATATTTTTGTATTAAAATAAATTAGCTATATATTTTTTATATTAAGCATTCTTTAATAAAAAAGCACTTAATTTTTTTTTTAAACTATTTTATTTTCTAATCCCCCTTTGCATAGTAAAAAAAAAAATTATTAAAATTCTGAAAGTGTTTTTTCCTAAAGGAAACTTACTATACAAGCATATATTTTTTGTGTTCTATATTATATTAGTAACGCTTTGTAACTGCTGAAGCAATATAAGAAAATATTTTTTTAATATGTTATTATTCTATATATTATTTTGTGAATTATTTAATTTTGAAACACAATTAAATTTAATAAGTTTTTATTATTTCGAAATTAAATTAATAAATGTTAGTTTCCTCTTTTTAATTAATGATTTTAATTTTTATGAAACCCATGAGTATATTTTTAATTTAATTTTTCATAATAAATGTAGGTTAATGTATGTCCTTTTTATAATAAACAAATTTTAAATTGTACACAGTTATGAAAACTATAAATTTACTTTACTTATTAACAATTTTACTCATACTTAGTGCTTTTATTTTTATCTCAGCTATTTTTGGTTTACTTAATTATAAAAATTAATAATTTTTAACAACATTTTCGACATCTTAATTTCATTTTATGAATGGTTGGATTCTTATTTAACTTTTTTATAAATATAATATAATATAATGTATTACTAACAAATTTAATTGTATTTAATCATATATTACTTTTATTTCTTATTATAGTCGTGAGTTATTTAAAAGATAAAAATTTTCTTTTGTTTTAATATTTTTTTTTTTATTTTTAAAACCATATAATTTTATTTTTATCTCTTTAATGTACTTTATTAATTAATTTAATTTTTATTTATTTCATTTAAATTAATATTTTTATTTCTTAAGATTGCTTGCCGCTGGTTTAGTAATATCTAGTTCCACGCCGACAATAGGGCCTTTAGCGAATGGTGCAAAGGCTTCAGTTTGTAGAAAGTATGAGCCGGAAGCGCTGTAAAAAGTAAAAGAGAAAATATTTAGTGAATTTGTATTATGTTATATTAACCTCCTATCATGGTTATGCTAAATTATCTTAATTAAAATAATCGTAAAAGTTAAACAGAAATAAATAAATATCTCGAAACTGTTTTAAAAAAATTTTCTCTTATAATCACCATCACGGTCTTAAAGTTCCCTCAAAACCTATTTCAAAACACTACAAGATCTTTTCTGAGAATTTTTCTGACTCGCCTAATCAAGGGAAAGGCAATCCTTCTGTGTCACCCCAATAAATCTAATGGAATGTGAACTCCAAGTTTCACATATTCTAATGAACCATACCCACACTGTCAGACTTTCGGTCCTCTACTGAGATAGATTACCAATATAAATATATATATTTACTTCTAATATCTAGTAGCATCGACTTCCCAAAACGTACCGACAGCGCGTTTTTGGAAACTTACAAAAAAATACTGCTGATCACTGGTTATGCCCCAGTTTAGAACCTGAGTCTTATACGCACGATACCACAACAGCACTTACCACCATAAACACTCAGGTAGTCAATGGCTTTAGCCAAAACCCTCCTTATGCGCATACTGTCCTGGTAGCACTGGATCATGTGCTACCTGAGTGATCGTCAATCATCGGCAGAATTTCGAGGTCAAACAGCGAAACTGAGGAAGATTAAACAAAGGGGTTTCGCAGGGTGGTATCATCTCCCCATTGCTGTTTAACTTCCATATCTCATATGGCAATGATTGCTCGATATTGGCATGTGGCTAGGATAGTGATGACCTTTGTTCGAAAGTGAATATCTAACTATCTAGACGATCTATCCCACTTCTTCGCTGCTAGACAACACATCCAACAGCCTACATTTTTTCACTGCTCTCCTCTACTCCTTCACTCCGCGTATAACTGCGATTCCCGAAAAACTCCAGAGTCGCAAAAAATCATCAAAGAACAAGCCGGCAGCAGCTGGGGAAAGAACAAAGTAACTTCGCTGGCTACGTTCAAAGCGGTTGGCAGGCCGGTCATAAACTGGGCACTGAGAACAAACGAGATGCAGTTAAAGATGTTACAGACCTGCCAAAACATCACACTTAAGACCACGAAATGATACCTAATCATCACGTGCACAGCTAAGCATCTGTGCTATTAATGAAGGAGCATAATGCTTTGCTGTGAAAACAGTTCACAACAGGCATCTAATAGACGCTGAGCTTCCGCCCAGGCACATGAAAAAGGGAGTACTAGATTTAAGGGAAACTATACTGAAATACCGCAGCTGCGGAGGCCGAGTGGTTAGCATTGCATACTGCCATTCGGAATGTTCGGGTTCAAATCCAGGTGCGACCAATTTTCTAACTGCGGTCGTCCCTCGGCAGAGAATGTCAAGCCCTCCGAGTATATTTCTAACATGAAATAAAGGCTCCTCATAAAAGAAACCATCAGCCGTCCGGAGAAGTCTTAGTAGGTCTTAACTGTAGGTCTCTCCATTTGTCGGAAAAACATCAAGACGCAAAACCACAGTTTGGAGGATGAGCTCGGCCGAAAAGTCGCTTCAGCAGTTACAAAGTGACAAATATGTATATATCAAGCAATACGTCCGACAATCTCTCCACAGGATGGCATACCGACAGGCACTGAACGCCATTCACTAGGAATCAGTTAACACCTTCAAAGACTCCCTTCCTCTGAATGGGGTACTAGGTCTCGAGAGGCCACTAGGTCTGAATATTGTAGCAGGTTAACCTCCTACTTCTCCACACTTGAGCCTGACTGCATGTAAAACGTCTCCGCATGACATTAACCACCTCTTTACTTGTCTTTACATGCTCCCTCAAAGACATTTAAATAGCTTTTTCCTGCATCTCCAGTTAGATGACCTCGGTGACTTAGACCAACCAGCATGTCGCTATTCGAGACACTCGTTTCAAACAATCTTTCTTATATCTCTTATTATCTACAGAAACTTCCTCTCTCATCTTACTCACTTCCTCGACACAAAATATCCCATTTGTGTGTGCGGCACATGCGCATATTGTCGACATTGTTGCATAACAAATTGAAACCATTCACCACATTGATAGGACCAAAAACCACGCTCGCTGCCAATAGATTCAGCATAATAAGCAGGCGCACGAAAGTGATTGCAATTGCGTATGCCTGGAAGTTTTGAGATCAAAGAGATATTACGCAGAAAGTCTCAAGCTTACTACACACCAACTTACGACCATCCTGCACCAAATTACAACCAGGCTGAAAGAATTGTTCCAAATTGGGATAAAAGTCCGCGTGACCGCTGCGCTCCAATGTGGAATAGAAAAATGGATCTGTATGTATGACGTCGACAAATTCAGCATCGCTGGCATCCAATTTATCGCGGAGATTTTGAGTTACAAAAGCAGGACCAGCAGGATCTAAGCCTAAAAAGACAAGAAAATGTGTAGGAGAGAAGAGTAAAATGTACGATAAAGAAGAATACAAATTGTTTACCTGTTATACGATGCAGTGGTTGTCTAACGCTATTTGCCGTTAAGCCTGCAATTTGCGCGCCCAAACTGAAACCAATCAAATGTATATCCCGTTCGCTATAAATACCGGATTCTATTAAATTATCAACAAGTTGCGCCAAACAGCGCGCCACGACGTGGGCGTTTCGCACAGCCCAGGGATAGTAGCAAGGAAATCTTGAGAGTCTGCTATAATCCGCGGATATAACATGCACAGGCTGGGTGCGTAGGAGTATCGCACGTGTTTCCAAATTTGGCGAGGCAAATCGGTTACCGTTAAAACCGTGTATGAGTATTTTTAAAGGCCAGCGTGGTTCGAAGTTGGCGGCGGTGAGGTTGAGTGGATTAAGCAGGAGAGATTCGTGGTTTGTTTCACTGCAATATATTAAATGTTTAGCATTTTTGAAAATGAAATAAATACAATTTTTAATGTACTCACTTTTTATAGAGCCAAAATTTGATATGCTCGTTGGGACACTCTTCGTTTGCATAAATACAGTCGAAGGGAAAGCCAGTGCCAATCTTGCCTGCAGTTGCAGAAGCTTTATGAAAGAAATTTATAAATCATGTTCACTTAATTTTTAAATAATAATTAGAAAAAATAAAATAAATATTTCAAATATTGAAAGCATGAAAATATTAAAAAATATATATATGTAGATATGTATAATAATACAATATTAAAAATAATAAAACTTACTAATTATTGAAAATATTATGTAGTAGAAATGAATTTCACACCTCATATTTTAATTAACAATTGACAAATGCCACGCGTTGCCGCTCGAAGCATTAATTTTATACACTTTATTATGCTAATTATGCCCACATAACGGGTCTGTTTAAAAAAAATACAATTCGAATTATCAAGTAAATACATAATTAAAGACTTATTATCAACAAACAAGCGATATTTCACGGTCAATTTTAAATAAATCTACATAACCAGCAAGACTACATTAATAAATTAATTGTTTACAATGTTAATTGTTATAAATATTTGCACAAGTGCTGGTGTTTATAAAACTATTTTGAAAACATCATATTTTTGAACACCACACCAACTTCATTCATAAATATAACGCCAACTACAACACATTCAATGAAAATCTGGCGGCAAAATAACGTCCGTTCCGTCATCTGCCGCTGGATTATCCACTCCGTAGCGTAGGAAGCGACACATCAACAACTGATCGCACGCTTCTTCGTTCAGCATATCAAGTTCGTAGTGCTGCCGCCATTTTGGTTTTACTTGCGTCACTTTCTCGGTGATACGTCCAAGTGCGAATGGTGTTGAATTGGATGTTTTGAGGAAATATATACCGGTAAGGCTGTGAAGAAATTTTTTAATAAATCAGCATTTTTCTCGTTATCTCATTATTTAATCTTCTTACCTCTTATCTATATGATAACCCATCATGGCATCATTTGTTGCCACACTGCAGATGTTTAAAACGAAATAAAGCCAATTCGAGCAACGGCTACTCCAGAACTCATATTTCGGAATGATTGATTCGGCATAGAAGCGTGGCGCGCGTTCGTGATTACAGCTACCGGGTGCTGGAAGAAGAGGAGATGAGACGAATTTGGTTAACGCAATAAAAAGACGGAATCATAATTTTAAAGTTCAAGGGAAGCGCTATTCGAAGCGAGCTTCACTTGGAAATGCCAAACCCATTTGGGGGCATTCTCGCTATTTCCGAGGCCTTTGCTCACTTCTAAGTACGGGTAAGGGGTTCCAGAAGTTACCTGTTGTAAGGCGCGCCTGCCGTAATAGACCACTGAAATCCAATAGTTCTCACGAAAGTCGGATCATTATATGGGAGTTATCCGCATTTTTATCCGGCCAAGGACTCGAAAACTAATTTGCGGTTACAACAACAAAAACAACAACATTATTCTAATTTGACAGTTTTCGTCTGAAAGCGCTGACATGAAATGACCGAGCGAGTGATGTGCATCCTGATTTTTTCAGTTTTGAGCCTTCTCCGAATGGCCCCGAGAGAATTTTATCAACTTTTCAGCTTTTACTATAATTTTGGATATTGGTCTGATATGAATTTGGCTATAGCAACTGCCACTTGCTACACTTACCCGCTTCGATTTCACAACCCGGCTGTATATAACCGAAATTCGGATAGAAATCTACATGACCCATTGGATGCATCATGCCGCGTCCCAGAACGTCAGTGTGTATGACATCAACAAAATCCGCATCATCTTTGCTCAACTTGCGCTCATTACCAGCTGTGATGAATAAAGGTTTGGCAGGATCTAGACCTGGCAACAAGAAGAAAATCACGCTTTTTACTTCCCACAAAGATACAATTCAAGAACCGCAACCCGTCTCACCCGTAATGCGTGGCAATTTATTCGCTACATAGTTTGCAGTTTGACCAGCCACCTGCGCGCCGAGACTAAAACCAATGACATGCAAATCTTCATTGCGCACAATACCCTTGCCGACGAGATTGTTGATTAGTTGCCCGAGACAACGGCTGACTAGTGCCAAATTTTCCACAGCCGAGGCGTAACAAGGCTCACGCACTAGTGGACCGTAATCGGGTGAGATAACATAAACATCCTCATGTTCAAGCAAGACTGGTCTTATAAATGTATTCGGTGCAAAATCACGATGACCCGTATAACCGTGTATGAGTATTTTAACTGGACGACGTGTAGGAAAATCCGTTTGCTGTAAATTTAGTGGATCTAATTTCAAAGGCTCGTTGGCAGTAGCTCTGAAAAAATTACAAGGCGCATGCATAAATTAAAATATTTTTATTACAACAACACGTTTGCCACTCACTTTGTATACAACCAGAAGGTGACATTTTCATTGGGACACTCACTCTTCGCGACAAAACATTTCGGATCGAAAAGCCCCTGTATTGGATTGGCACTCAACCAGTTGTGAAAAACTAAAATGAAAAATAGATTTTAATTAATTATGAGAAGGCAAAATGAAAATACTTGTATTTCGAGTTATTATTTTTCTTATTACTTTTACACAACAACACCATGAGAAACACTTGCAATGCGCGCATTTTACCGTAATTTGTTTATGTGTCGACACTTTGCACGTTAGTTTTGGTAATGCCACACGAAATGTGGCGCTGAGTGTGTTTATAGTGTACAATGCAATTATCAAACAATTTAGAGAGGAAATTGTTGTTATCTCAAAGCTGTAAATACAAAAATATGCTACAGTTCATTTCAAATGGAATTATTTGCTGTGAGGATTTTTTTTTTATAAATTTTGTGCTTTTCTTTTATTGTATTTTTAATTTTTTTATTTTTCTGTATTTCTTCGATGGATTTTGTAATGAAATTTATCACCCACATATTTATTGGCCTACCCCCAGTGGAGAAATTTAAGTAGCTCAATGTCAATTGTATTTCAATATGAATGTCAACAAATTGCCATGCGGGCTTAGCGGTTTATATCAATTGCTAATTAAGGTCAGTGTGTGAATTGGAGTATTCACGGTGCGCATGCAAAATTTTTGAATGGATTAATCCATTGTGCAAAAGTACAAATAGAAAGAGGCGCTCTGTTGAAAATCGTTTCAGCAGAAAATGATTTTCCACCTTAGTTCGTTTTGTAGCAGATTAATCTGTCTCACAGTACTCCTCTATATTTCAGTGACATGAGACGAGGATGCAGAACCTAACTAAACTGAGAAAGTTGCCTTTGTGTTTTAGCTCATTATAATATACGTTTTTGTTTCTCTGTTGTTTCATTATGCACGAATATGAGCCCAAAACGAAGGTTTTACCGTTCTTGATATTTATGAACATTTATGATTTCTTAAAGAAAATCCATTTTCACAATTTCACTTATCTTTTATTTCAGTCATCTACATTTCCTTTATTTATTACCCGTCGCAAAGCAAACACACTAAACAAGCACAAGAGAAGTTTGCGGTCGACTCACCACTTACTTCTTTGAGTTCAATTTCCGCTTCCTACATTAGAATAGGAAGCACCATATTTCTAACACAACGATTTTACTTATTGCACACACACAATAATGAAAAATTTCTTTTTGCTATTTTGTAAAATAATAATACTATTGATGCAAGCAAAAATTGTTGCTAAAAATGGCACATGCTCTTGAAAGTTGCAAATTAGGAAATTAACACAAATACCGGCAAACCAGCTAACGGATTATATTAGCCGGCAGCAAAGTTTTAATGATAATCAGAAGTAGATGGCGCTAAGATACGTGTACGTGTTTCGAAGGTAAGAAAACAAAGTGTTAACTGCCTTCGGCGACATCACTGTTTGAAGTTGAGGAATATGCGATTTAATGCTTGATTTGATTATTTGTGCTTGATGCTATTGACGTCTTCTTATCAGCTGTTTGCTTGAAGTACTTTGTTTTGTTTGCTTTGATTTATTATAAATATACTGTCTATTCTTATCTCAATAATAATATGATAAGAGCTCATCTGCAAGCTTTATCGCTTCATTTGCCATTCATTGCTTTTGCTAGACATGGCAGCTAAATTGCAGCATATACAGAACCTGCGACATATCTTTCAACGTTCGGTGGATTCTGTGCGGCCGGCGCAACTACTTAGCGAGAGCAACCAATATGCCTTACGTCCACAACTCAGTGAGAAGGATGGCCAACAACTAAGTATAAATATACAGGGTAAAATCTTGGATTTAACTCATAAGCACTGCCATGTCGTCGGCTTTGGTAAGGCTGTGCTTGGTATGGCTGTACAATTGGAAAAGTCGCTGGATAAGAATTTGGTGAGTGGCGTATTGAGCATACCAATGGGTACAAGACAACAGTTTAACAATATGCCTGAAATGCAATTATCGAAGCAAACTGTAATTGACATTATTGAAGGTGCGCCCAATAATCAACCAGACGAGCATGCGTTCGTAGCAGCACAACGTATTAAGGAAGTTGCAGCGAGTATGACGGAAAATGATATACTTTTTGTGCTTATATCTGGTGGTGGCTCAGCGTTGCTGCCTTTACCACGGCCGCCACTAACACTCACTGAGAAAATGCAGTTAGTGCGACGTTTGGCTAATTGTGGCGCAAGTATTGATGAAATGAATGTGGTGCGCATTGCATTGTCTGACATCAAAGGCGGTCGCCTAGCCGCTGCTGCACGCAATGCTTTTGCAGTTATTTCATTTGTCATCAGCGACGTTGTAGGTGATCCCGTGGACATTATAGCTAGTGGTCCTACTTGCAGCGCTATCTCGAAACGACAAACAGCCAAAGAAGTGCTGGAAAAATATGCATTGTGGTCATATTTACCAGCACATATACGTGCGTTAGTAGAAAGTCCAGTGGCGAAAGAGCAAATAACACCCGGACGCAATAACTCCGTCTATGTCGTGGGAGACAATCGTGTTGCTACAGCACAGGCGGTGCAGGTAGCGCTAAAGTGTGGTTATAATCCATTTATTGCCAGCACCACAGTAGAGGGTGAAGTACAAGATCTTGTGTGCCGGTATAAAAACTTTCTGCAGAGTATATGTGATTTCCGACGGAATAAACTTGATGAAAATGAATTGAAGAAACTCTTTCCTTTCGATGCCCGCATCTTCCAACACTTCCTGAAAACTTTACGCGTGTGTGAACGCACGGAGAAGCCGTTGTTATTAATCTTAGCTGGCGAACCCACTGTTAAGGTGAGCACTAATATTGGAATCTTAATATTTCGCAATATACACCACACACTTTTTACTCTAGGTCTCCGGTACCGGTTTGGGTGGTCGTAGTCAGGAGATTGCGCTGCGTATGGCACGCGCTTTGCACGAGAATCCGGAATTTAACAACGTCATATTTCTGAGTGCCGGCACAGATGGCATCGATGGCCCGACACCAGCAGCTGGGGCTATAGGTTGCGATTTGGTAATTCGTGATTTTCTGGAGGATTCTTCCAAGAACTTGGGCGATGTGCAGGCTTATTTGCAAAACAGCGACTCATATAATTTTTATAAAAATCTAAAATCTGGTGAATATCATGTGCTTACTGGGCATACTGGCACTAACGTTATGGATATTCAATTGTTGTTAATCTTGTAGCGAAAAATCTTCATTAAAAGAATATATTTATAAAAAAAGCATATCTTCGAAATGGTAACTCTTATTTCTTAATGAAACAAGACAAAAGTGGGCTCTTTGATTCAATTGGTTTTAATGCCCTTTGCAGAAAGTATTTGGATGCGATGAAAGTTTATTGTATTCGCTCTATGTGTAGGAAGTCATATTCTTCAGCTTTATGCGGAGCCTTGCCGTGTGGCAAGGTCGTGACATAGCTGCTAGAATTTATTAACTAAAACATCAAGATGTGCACGCCCAGCTGATCTCGGAGATCTCCAAATCAGGAATCCCAATATGGCGACTCGGCAACTGATCAAACATCATAACCCGACTAAAGACCCTATCACGTATTCAAGCCTTGTTACCTCTCTGCTTAAACGACGAAACACGATGCTACCAACGAAGTGTGCTGCCTTTTCGTAGTGCACTGAGTAAACGACAAGTGACCCCTGATTTCATCGTGGAGGAGGTTCAGAGGTTGATTACGATAGTTAAAGTCTCTCAGCTCGCGAATGGAACACGAATTCTGATGCCAAAATGTCTAGATCGAACAGGAACAGATTTCATCATCAACGTCGTCAACCAGTCTAACAATACCCGACATGTAAAATCAAAGTAAAGTTGTTCCATTAGTGAAATCAATGAAACTCGCCGACGCCGTTGAGTCATATTGTCTAATCTCTCTGCACTCCCCAGTACCAAACTCACTTGAGACCCAGCACCATCACCACACTGAACGCCATATATATAATATGTATATAATTGCTGCTTTGATGTTTTTCCAACAAATGGATGGACCTACAGTTTATACTAAGCCGCCTCCGAACAGCTGTTGGTTTTTTTTTTTTGAGGAGCTCTATTTCATGTCACAACTACACTCGGATGGGTTGACACTTCCTGCCGAGGGGCGACCGAAATTAGAAAATTTAACTCATTTTTTATTTAAATAAATTTTCTATAACTTTTGAATGTTGGTCGCACGGTGATTTGAACCCGAACCATCCGAATGGCAGTACGCAATGCTGACCACTCGGCCACCCCGGCCGCCTGAACGCCATAACCACCTATATAATTTATGACTTCAAACCTAATCGAACCTAGGGACGAATTGTGTTGGTAACACTGGACTTGTCGAAAGCTTTTAACATAATCAATCTCACAGAGCTATTATCGGATAATTAGAAGTACTCATTACTGACGGGATCGAAGAGGTGAAAGCTGAATTACAAACTCAGCAAATTAATAGTGCCGAAGCTATTTCCGACACTAGAGGTTGTCTTGATCTCATTCGTGTATGTCAATTACTACTAGTTATTGACAGGATACTAAAAACCTTTCCTCAAAGGTAAGCCGCTGTAATGTCGATAACTGTGTTTCGATAGCACAGGAGCTAAACACTGCACAAAAGACTGTTTGGAACCACCTGAAGAAGGCTGCATACACAAAGAAGCTCGATGTATGGGCTAACGAGTTAATGAGAAAAACTGGACTACGATTCGCTGTTGAATCATAATAAAATCGGCACCATTTCTGAAACGGATGGTGACTAGAGATGTAAAGTTAACCTAAGACTAAGTCGGTCGTGGTGAAAGAAGAAGATTGTGTTGTGTTTTTGGCGTGGTTGGCAAAAATCCATCCACTACAAGCTGCTTTCCTACAGCTAAACTTTTAATTCAGACCTGTGCTGTCAGTGATTGGACGGTTTGAAGGAAATATTCGCCCAGAAGCACCCTGAAGTGCCCAGCTTTTACCAACAAGAGGTGAATTGTGTTCCATTAGGATAATGTCAGACCACACACATAGATCAGTAGACGCTCATTGAGCTTGGTTGGGGGATTCTTGTGCATCTTCTTCTAGTTCGGACCTCGGACCAAGTGATTTCCATTTGTTACTGCCAATGGCGATGCATCGATTGTCTCAATTCTATGCCAATAGGGATAAGAATTTCCATGAGAGAAGCATAATAACATTGAACCTCGAATTGGCAAAGAATTAATCTGTAAAACTATTTTGGCTATGGTAAATAAAGCCTTCAGTTTAGACCAAAAATAATGAATTACTTTTTACTACACTGGCTAGGTCACGTGGTCCGGATGGATACGAATACTACAGTTTTGAAAGTTTTCGATGCAGTACCCGCCGGCGGAAGAAGAGGAAGAGAAACACCTACACTTCGTTGGAAAAATGGGATAGAGAAGGACCTGGCTGTACTTGGTATTTCCAATTGGCGCAGCAAAGAAGAAACGAATGGCGCAATGTTGTTTACTCGGCTATAATCGCGTAAGCGGTGTTTACGCCAGTAAAATAAGTAATATATATTATATATATATATATATACCCTGCTGGGAAAATACTAATTGTTAACTAGACTCCCACTAGTTCATCTTCCATCTGTTTTCATTGTAAGCAACTGGTACATTTTACACAGCGATGTCCTGCAACAGCTTCATATTAGTTGAATACCACTTAATTTATACCAGTCAAAATACTGGTACGTTCCTACCAGTGGAAAACTAGTTCGCCTCAGATCAGTTTGCATTCTAAGCTTTTGGTGTATTATTTCTTTCTAGGAATTGGATCAGATATCATTCTATATATTTGAAGCATAAATAGAACTGTTCATATGAGGTTGTTGTTGTTGTAGCAGTAAGTCTTAAAAACACTAAATACTTCATATTAGAGCACAAGACTTTGTTTGAGCATTTTCGAACTTCTTCTACTTTTTTCCAGAACTTTCTTCTATAATTTTAATTTTATCTATGGAAAGTGTAAACCTCATTGAAATACTGAAGAAATTTTGACAAACAGAAGTTAAATTATAAAAATTTCGACCAATAATTCGATCAGTTGAGCAACAAACGAGTATCGATTTATAAACAATGCTCGATAACTGGCTATTTTTGCAAACTAGTCCGGAATTTACCGAAAAATACAAGTGTAATTCTAGTCTATGGCAAACTAGTATATTTCTGACCTTTAAATACTAGCATAATTCTGGTCTATGGCAAACTAGAATGATTTCGTCTTCAAAATACTACTTTTTAACTAGGATTTTTGCATACTAGTCTACTTTTTCCCTGCAGGGTAAGTATAATTGTAGTCTATGGCAAACTAGTATATTTTTGAGCTTTAAATACTAGTATAATTCTAGTCTATGGCAAACTAGAATGATTTCGTCTTCAAAATACTACTTTTTAACTAGAATCTTTGCAGCCTAATCTACCTTTTCCCTGCAGGGTATGTATGCTCTAATAAGTCCGTTGTTATGTACATATTTAATTAAAAAATATTTGAAATATTTGTACGAGTTTAAATATCTATTTATCGTTATTTGTTGAAAAAGTGCCTCCCTTTTTTCCACACACAATTTTATGCCATAAATTCTTATGCTTGTTTGTTGTATATGCAAATATTTGTATGATACTCTTATGTACTTTTGTTTATGTGCTTGTTATGGTTTCACATAAAATTTTAATTAATTCACAACAACCTTGAGTCATCATCAATTTCTCAGTAGTGGTCAACCAGAGGAGACCAGACTGATTTTTGCATTTATATAAAATTTTTTTTTTATTTCGAATTTATTACTTAATTTTTACTAATTTAGGCGTTAGCTTGATGAAATTATTTGCCCATATACATATGTACATATTTTTGTCTTTGCGGGACATTTGAATATGTGAAATTCCTCTCGCGTTGGCAATTAGTGTCAAATATGACTGAAGATTGTGTTGAATCATCGACGCTTCTGTGGAAGAAAATATTATATGATAGCAATGCGGTATGCACAATATGTGAGCATGCATATCTGTTAACTAGTTGTTTTTATATTCATACATACATATGTACATGCATTTTATAGCACAATTTGTTCGTTGTTCTAACGGCAACAAAACTAGTGAGCTTCACCTCCTTCTACCTCTTCCATCTTCCAACTCTCTGCCTCTGTATCGACACTGTGCCTAGTAAAAGCCCAGCTGGGCTTGTTGTTATATTTTGAAGTGAGTGCAATAGGCACAGTTGCTATCCGAACCTATTTCTATTTATCGGCAGTTGGTACTTGGCATATGCTAGAGACTACGACTTAAAGAGCTGATACACTTCACGGATTATCCAAATAATTTCTTTGATATTTTTATATTAAAAAATCTTTTTTGTTGTTTTATTGATGCATAATTTATTATATTCACTGACATAATTAAGGTCTGTACACTATGGTAGACTTAATTTCTACTTATCCAGGTCTGACACCGACATACCCAACGTTTATCCTGCATGCAATGAGTGCCCTGATGATATTAACTTTTTCTTTGTAGGACTACTGAAATCTGGAAATATCTTTTTTCGTTAAACTAACCAGCATATTACCGTTGAAACTTAGGCTATAGCAAATAGTCACAGCTTTGGCATACAAAGTAAGTTTTTCTGGAGAGAAATCAGCCTTGAAAGACATGAGGATGCACCGATGAAATAGTTTTCTTCTCTCTATGTATATACATATGCATTTGCAAGATATCAAGATTATCGACATTCTTCATTCTAATTAATTTTATCATTTCCTACATCAGCTTGCAGGAAGTGTTAAAATATGAAAAAATTGAAACCATAAATAAATAAAATTGTACATAGAAAAAAACAAATCCAGCAGTAAATGCGTGGGCCGAAAATGCCTACACATTCACACACACACACATGCACACACTCACACTCTCGCGCAAGCAAATATTTCCGTTTCCGCATGTGGTAACGTTGCGAACGCGTGCGCCTGCCTGTTGCAGCAATCACCGCTAGAGTCGGAGAGCGAATGACGCGCATGACATAGAGAAGCAACAATGTCTGCAAATACAGTTATTAAATATAAAAAGGAGTAATAAAATATTCATATTTATTTATAAAACTACATACATACAAACTTTTATAAACTACTTACTAGTTTTACGATCAACAATTTGGTTTTCTTCTTCTGAAATTTTATGGCATTCCGCCCGCCTCTACATTGGTAATTTTTAAATGGTGTCGCTAATTGTTTATGTT